TAATTTTTTAATCCTCAAAACAGGATATTTTTTCCATTGATTTTTAGAGAGAGTGGAAGAGTGAGGAAAAGACAGAGAGAAATATCAATGTGAGAGAAACACATTTATTGATTGGCTGCTGTAGGAGGCTCGACCAGGGCCCTGGCCAGGGAGGAGCCGGCAACCAAGGTACATGCCCTTGAACAGAATCGAACCCGGGACCTTTTGGTCTGCAGGTCGATGTTCTATCCACTGAGCCACACCGGCCAGGGCAGGACACCAACTTCCACAAGGCCCTCTGCAGGCGGGGTGGGGGTGAGGGGGTCCCGCTGGACAGGCTGAGGGTTTACACCAGGGGAGACGCAGGATGGGCACAGTGGAGAGCAGGTGGGCGCCACACCAGCGAGGTGACAGGAAGTGTGCACAGGACAGTGGCCTCCAGCCCCAGCCCCGAGTGCCAGGCCCTAAGCCCAGACCCCAAGGCGCTGGGAGAAGAGCAGCAGGCGCGGGTCCCTGGGTCCCCGGGAAAGGCCTCCCCGTCACGGCCTCTACGTCGCCAGACACAGGCAGGGGCGGCAGACGCGGAGCCAGAACGGGGAACCCACAGAGGGAAGGGGAACTCGGGAGGATCGGACGCTAAAGGCAGCGAAAGGGGCCCGGCTGGCGTGGCTCAGGGGCTGAGCATCGACCTGTGAACCCGGGGAGGTCACGGTTCAATTCCTGATCAGGGCTCTCGCCCGGCGTGCAGGCTGGATCCCCAGCGGGGGGCGTGCAGGGGGCGGCTGATCCATGACTCTCCCTCATGGATGTTTCTCTCTCTCTCTCCCTCTCCCTTCCTCTCTGACATCAATCAAAATATATTTAAAAAAATAAAAACGGTAGCAGACATTCCAAAATTTCAACAGAATAGAAGGGCTAAGATACAGTTGGGGAAATTTCCCCAAAATTTGAAGAAGAGTTTGAGCAGAGAATAGAGAAAAGATACAAGAGCAATGAGTGTGAGTTCCAGGAAAAGGGGAGCCGACCAGGGGAGACGCTCGCAGAGAAGCAATTCGAGTTTCCAGGAACTGGGAGCATCTGCCTCAAATCCAAGCCCATCCCCCCGAACACACACACCCCACACAC